TCAGTTTTAAAAACTGAAAAAAATTATAAGGTCTAAGTACTGACATCCGTAACACTACCTTAAAACCACTAGTATATTATACATGTTTTTATAATTTTTGCTAAACGTTAAAATTACCAGATTTTTGAATATTTATGAACATTCATTTTAAAATGTATACAATGAACATACCCGATAGGTAATGTGCAAGCAAATTAGTAGAAAAGAATTCTTCTGTCTTTATTATTTCAATCTTTAGAGGTGTATATTTTAACATTAATGTAAGCCTGACTATCAGTCAATTACATGGTCTGTTTAAACCAGTCAACCACTCTAACCAACTATCCACAGGCACCTGACGTTACTTATTTTTCTTTGAAGAAAAAAAAATATACACATAACTAATAATATACGTGTATTTTTTTTTTTTATTAAAAGAAAAATAAGTAACGTCAGGTGCCTGTGCAACTACCGTATGTTACCATGCATATTTTGTGGAGCTTCAAAAGTCTAAAATTGTTTTAGTGGCTTCGTCAAACAACGCTATTTGACAGACCCTTTCTTATTTTTGAGTGTTTCTCCGCATTTTGTACAAAAAAAAAATCTCAAACGTGGCTACGTAAAAGTGTTAGATAAATGCTATCAGGACTGGAGGGTCAAATATGCACATCGAAATCGTCGAAAATTCACCAGCTTCCGAGCCCCCACTAGGGCTTCGCCCTGGACCCAATGGGGTCCTTAAGGCGGTACCCAGCCCCCCTGCCTATATTCAGGCGTCCACATCAAAAATACCCTGGCTACGCCCCTGAGTAAAAATGCTTTGAATTAAAATGTATAATGCGTGAATTTCTACATTGCAAATCATTTACTTTTTTGAGAAATAAATAAGGTAGCGATACAAGAGACCCGGCCCTTATAGGTCACATGGGCATCATGCAACAACTTTCCAACAATTGAATTTGGTTCATGTTTTAAACCAGAGGCCAGGACATTTACAATTTGAAAGAGGCACCATTGCTCGTCATAACTATACACTAAGTATGTATAGTTTGGTTACTTAATATCCATAGACAGAGTAGGGGAAGAAAAAAAAATGCATTTCAACTAATCAGTAATATTAAGCAATAATCAGTAATGTCCCCACCTCACAAAAACCCTGACCCTAGGTCTACACATTTCACTACATGTATTTCGGAAAAGGTACCATTGATCATCATAAATGGTTGATTAATATAATGGAGCAGATTTCAAAGAATTAATTCATTTTCAGTATAAATTAGAGCCAACCCTTCCCCCCGTCCTCAACCAGAACACCTGGTCCCGGGCCATGCATGAAAATTACAATTTTCAAAGAGGCACCCTTCCTCATCATAACTTCATTATGTACGTGTTTAGCTTGTTTAATATTCAGAAGCGGAGAAGATTTTCAAAGAATTAATGCATTTTCGCTATATAATCAAAGGGCCCCGCCCTAACACAAGAACCTCTGACCCTGGAGCCATGAAATCCACAATTTTAGAAGGAACACCCTTCCTCATCATGACTAAGTATGTAGTTAGTTTGTTTAATACCAAGGAGCAGAGGAGAAGACTTTCAACAAAGAATTACTGCATGTTCAACTTCACTATATAATCAATATAGCCCCCTCCCTTTACATCAAAACTCCCGACTCTTGGGCCATGAAATTCATAATTTTGGAAGAGACACTCTTGCTCATCATAACTATACATTAAATAGTTAGTCTTAAATTCCCAGGAGCGGAGGAGAAAGTTTTCAAAGAATTAATGCATTTTCATTAAATAATCAATTAAGCCCCACTCTAACACCAGAACCCCCGACCCAGGGGCCATGGAATTCACAATTTTTGGAAGAGGTACTCTTCCTCATTATAACTATGTATTTAATTCATTAGCTTTATACCCAGGAGCAGAGGAGATTTTCATTAAAGAAGTATCGCATTTTCACTATATAATCAATAGAGCCCCGCCATAACTCCAGAACCACTTCCCACTTAGCCAAAATTCTGAAATTGATACAGGTGACTGGTTTTGGCTAAGTGGGAATGGTGTACAGGTAAGGGCAGGGAGAGAACAAAAGAAATTAATTACAGGTGTCCTATAGTCTGTTTTAGAATGACCAGTGCTATGAATTATTTTAAATTCTTTATTTATTATATTTAATTCTTGTTAAAATGTCTTTTCTAATTCTTGATGACATTTTTTTTTAAATATTTTTTTCTATTCCACTTTTTTTTCAATTTATTTTAAAATTTTTTTAATTCTAATTTTTAATTACAGGTTTTTTTGTTGTGTCTTTTTTAAAATTCATAGGTTTTTTTTATTGATTTAACTAAATTAATACATAATACATAAAGAAGCTTATTTTATTTTCAAGATATTTATTTTAATTCTTTAATTCGCCATACTTAGTAAAGTGATGCATAGTATCTGTTTTTTTTTTCTTCATTAGAATTAGTTAAAAAAAAAAAAAAGAACATTTAATGAATAATGATTGCTTTAATCCTAGGATTTCAAACAGAATTAATGTCAATTATTTCCTTTCTGGATACATTAATTACATCAATTATCAAATAGATAGCAACATAGGCAAAGCATCACAGGGCACTTTTATTTATTTAATCACTAATTGCATTTTGTTTATTTACCTATGGTTTGATAATTATCAACAATTTTTTTCTGTAAAAACTTTATACAAAATAGAATCTATGATAATTAACTATTTCTTAAATATTTCTATATAGATTTTTATCTATTCAATAACTTTTTTTTTTTCATGTATAACTAATTTCTTTTTTTCTTTCTTAATTTCTTTCTTCACCATTTTTATTTAATATCTATTTTTAAAAAAAAACTTTTTTTATTGATATTTATTTAATTATTTTTTTTATTTATTTATTTAATTTTATATATTGTTATTTTTTTATTTATTTATATATTTTTTAATTAATTAATTATTTTTTTATTTATTTATATAAATATTTAAATATATAATTTATTTAATATTTACTTATTTATTTTATTTTATTTATTTAATTTTTTGTTAATATATATATATAAGTAAATAGGTGAAAATTATAGGTAAATTACAGGTAATCAGTCTAAAACAGACTATACACAGGTGACCACTCAGGTGTGAAAATAACAATTTTGGCTAGGTGGGAATAGGAATTTCAGAATTTTGGCTAAGTGGGAATAAACCCCTGGGGATATGAGATTCACAATTTTGGAAGAGACACTCTTGCTCATCATAACTATACAATAAGTTTGTTTGTTTAATACCCAGGAGAAGAGAAGAAGATTTTCAAAGAAATAATGCATTTTCACTATGAAAACTATTAAAGGCAGAGATTTTAAGCACCGCCTTCAAAAATACCTGGTGTGGGTAGCCCTGTCAATCAAGTGCGTGAAGGTCCATCATTGGATGCTGGAACTTGATTGACACTTACTTACTGGTCCCTGTGTATACCCATGGGGGCAGGGATCATAAAAATTCACATTTTTTTTTTGTTCCCCTTCACCCATAGATACTATATGCCAAAGATTGAAAATGGTTCAGTGGTTCAAGAGGAGAAGCTAAAAATGTTCAAAAGATTAGGACCGACGTACGACGACTGACAAAAAAACAGATAGCAATACTCAGGTGACCTAAAAAGGGGGAGGGCTACATTATTGCAGGTAAATGAAATGGTAAAGTTTTTAATTGCATCCTGTTAAATGTAAAAGATAAAAGTGTGTCGAAGGGAGAGGCTTGAACTGTACTTAATATCATCCTGCAGTTCTCTAACAAATACCGGAAATTTTACATCCTATCAAATATACTTTCACTTTAGCGTGCATGCTTAACTTCCTACTATTTTTATCAACCAGAAAAGAAAGGTATGTCAGACGAAGAAGATTATATGTCCGAGAGTTTCTTGCAAAATCTCGTGGATAAAAGACCTGGGCTTGTGTTCTCTTCAAAGACATCACGAGCGCATAAGCAGGAAAAGAAGAAAAGGGAGAAAGATGACCAAAACCGATTCAAACCCAAGAAAGTTTTAGAGACAGAAAAACGAGAAGAAGGTTTAAAATCTGCCATTACCAGTGATAACAAGGGGTTTGCTTTACTTTCGAAAATGGGATATAAACCGGGTATGGCTATTGGAAAGAAAGGTGAAGGTCGCTCTGAACCTGTTCCCATTGAGTTAAAGGCAGGAAGAGGGGGGCTTGGCAGAGATAATGAAGTCAAGAGGAAATTAGAAGATTTTAGGGCGAAGTCGGCAATAGCCCAAGAAAAAAGACAAAAAGTCATGTCAGAAGCAAAACAGAACTTTGTTGGTCGGATGAGTAATAAGTTTTCAGAGCAAAGAGCAAATAGCGATTTGTATAAAAGTCAGAAAGTGTGTGCTGATCTTGATGCACGGATTAATTTAGCGGAACCAGAGAGGCAATTCTTTTGGCCTGATTCTTACAAAAAACAAGATGAAAGTGATGAAGAGTCCAATGAATGTGAAAAGACTGAGGAAGATTCACTCTTGAGTAGTGTAGAACAATTGGAAATTTTAACAGATTATCTAAGAACAAGACATTTATATTGTGTTTGGTGTGGGACTGCTTATGAAGATGCACAAGATCTAGAAACCAATTGTCCTGGTAACACAGCAGAACTTCATGATGATTAAAACTCTCAAAGGATGAACAGTCTCTATACAACATTTGTAACATGTACATTCAGCTTTAAAGATATTAGGTTTATTTTTGAACACTAGAAAATAATGATTATCAAAATGACTTGTGTACATTTTATTTCATTGTTCATAACTATACATGTTATCATAAAATAATTTTGCTCTACATGAGAAGAGAAAATAAAGATACACTGTACCATTTCGCATGTTAATATGCAATATTTAAATTTTAAAAGTGCAGTTTCATAAGTTTTAAATCAAAATTATTTCTTTGGTAGATATTTCTATTGTATTTGTTTAATCTGGTTTTGTATTACCCCCAATTTTTTTTTAATTATTCCACATCTTCTGTATTGACAAGATTGACTGGTATTTGCTGATATGTTGACCTCGGTGAGACCAAATTATCCATCGGAACTAAATCAGTAATATCTTGATATATACAGGATGATAGTCTCTCGGCTCTATCGTCAATAAAGAGATTGGAAAAATCCAAAGTTGTATGGTAAAAAACATTGGATTCCCTTATATTGTTAAGTTCTGTATTGGGTGGTAATGTAAAGATATAAGAATGTTCTCTTTGCTGCTTTAATCTGAAAAGTAAAAAAAGTATATTCAAATATGTAAAGGCATATTTACAATATGTTATAATGTGCTGTCAGAGATAGCCATAACATTTTTTCTTATGTCTAGCATATATGTACGTATATTTTTTATTTCCTTATTTTTATTTGATAGAAGAAAAAATGATTTTTAGAGCAGATATAGAGTGCAGATGTTCATGGTATAAAAATATATCTGTGCATTAAAATGACACAAGTACACTTGTTAAACTATTTCAGAAGAACCTGAATTATTATTTGTTGAAATGGAATAATATGTGAAAAATAAAAAAAAATCTTTTAAGTAGCACTTCTGATAAAACCCAATTTACATAAAAAAAAAAAATACTCGCATGAAGGTATCAATCTAATAGAAATGTTGGTACTCATTAGTACATACTAATTACCTCTTTTTCCTCTCACGCAAAAAGGCAGCAAAAACAAGCACCAACAGGAAAACTAAAATGGCAATGCAGAGTTCCCGGATGTACCTGAAAACTGTAATTTTGATTATTATTAAATCAAATATGCATATTTTTATTATATAGTATGCAAATCTCAATTCATGTTTGAATGAAATTATGAGAGTGCAGTCCTAACTGCACAGCATTTACAGATACACTAAAAATGCTTTGGCAATATCAAACGTATTTGTAATTTTTTCATTATGAGGAAAAAACAGACAAACAAGCAATCAGTATGGGAAAATTTGTAGTGATGTCTAATTGTATTCTCTGTTTTTAACCTCGCAGTTGATAATAAAATGCACTTGTTAGTACCAATGTTTTCCTCTTCCTGTGTGCTGTGTAAGCATGCTTTGGGCGTAAAAGCAGCTGTTGGCAATGAGACTATGTCTAAAAAAAAAGGAAAAAAAACTTAAACGGTTAATGGCATTCATATTATTACATTCATTTCATTCTTGATAAATAAAAAAAAAGGTCTTAAAAAGTTGTCTTATAACCTTCGGTGACATTTTTCACGTCTGTAGATAATTTTATAATGGTGATTATTTTTGTGGTCAAGTTGTTCTGCGTTGTGTTGGCTGTAGGGTTGAATTTATTCAATTGGAAATCTTTCGCAGAATCATCCGTAGTAGTAAAATTTTCTTCGTGGTAACCATTAGGAGTGGACAGAACTTTCGCCGCCGTCATATCAGTAACACTTAAAACGCTCTGAGTAGTTCCAGCTGAAGTCATGCTTAATTCTTTTGAATCTGTAATAGATTTTCATATAAACAATTATGCATTAATTAATTCTTTTCTTTCGATTTCTAAGCGCGACTTATGAATATTCTTTGAAAATGGAGTATATTCACTTGATGAACACCACTAGTAGAAAATTATTTTTCGTCAATAGTCATATACAGCCAAACCTGGTTATATAGACCTCAAATCTAGATACTCAGTATCCGAGATACCTAAGGGAAGAAAAGTTGTCTTCAAAATCACTTCTTCCTCTGTTATTAGAAGGTCGTGAGTTCGAGCTTATCTTAGAGATCCGTGTTTGCTCTGCTTCAAAATTTGTATTGTTTAATAGACTTTTGAAATTTCATTTTTTGAAATGAATTGTTTCACACAACTTTAAGAAGATGGGGGATAAGGCGGGCAGAATGCCTATATCGCGACAGATAAGAAGTGAAAAATTTAATCTTAATTATATCCAAATTTTATATCATATTTCACCTAATATTAAAGTATACTTAATGTAAAATCTCTATAATTAACAAAAATCTCACAAAGACTGAAAATATTTGCCAATGAAAAAGCATACACAGACTTTAAAGCACAAAAACGATCATTTTTTCATATTTTAACAAAATTTTTCAATATGAGTGGGTCTTCGCTCCATTTTTTGAAAGATAATCCTAAAAGTTTGTGATAAAATAAATATTTGTTGGTTTACAGAAAATGGAGCGAAGACCCACTATACCTTAAAAGTACAATTTTTTGACAAAACATTCGCATCTTTCCGAGAAATACTTCAGGTGCATTAAGTCAAAGGTCATATCACAAACATGATTTAAATGCCCTCATGTTCATGAGCCATGTAGCATAGTGGTTAGCGCGTTAGTCTCAAAGCAGTATGATACTTCGGTATTTTATTGCTGGGGTTGGAATCCCATGTTTACCATCTAAAATTTTAGAAATGGAATTTTTTAAGAGATTTATTTTCTCTCAGAAAATGTTTTTTTTCTCTCTCATAATTTCATTAAATTCAATAATGAGAAGTAAATTTAAATACTCAATTTACATATCAAATGTGATTTCTTAATATCTGACGCTATAGGCATTCTGCCCGCCTTATCCCCCCCCCCCCCCCCCATCTTCTTTAAAACTCACCTAAGTATTTCATTGCAACTTCGAAACTTCTCACGGCATGCCGGGGAGGGGGGGGGGGTTACAGTCAAAACTTAAGCTACGCCTAGAATGTAAAATTTTAATGCACAACAATCTTTAAAATCTTACCATTGAATTCATGACATTCCGTATTGTTACAACGCCTGCTCTCTATATCTAGAGGATTGCATTCCTGGGTACAGTTCTCACAGTTCCTTACACGATGTTGTGTTTCACTACCACCGCAGTAGGTCGGACATTCTTCCCACGAGGACCACTCACAACCCTCCACCGACGGAAAACAATGCAGGAGTAACCCCACCAACCATAAATATAATCCTGATAATGCCAACGGTAGTTTAGGAAATCTAATGTTTTCCAACTTCGGCATAGGTAAACGTGTTCTGACTGAATCAATTACATGTTGAAAATGGCATGAAAGTGTATTAATATATTCCAAGGAAATGAGAAAGAAATTCATTTGCACTGGTCATAATATAATAGACCTGCAAATGTCACAGGAAAGGGAAAAATATTTAATTTACCGGTACAATTTCCTTTTTTATGAAAGGTACTAGTGAAAGAGGGATACTTGGGGTCATATGGTGCAATATATACCTGAATTGCAAACGACATTGTCAAAAAATATTCATGGTTCAAAATAGGCTTTCATACGGTGGTATATTCAGGACACGCAATTATTTTTTTTTTTAAAATACCAGAAAAAAATTATCTTGTGAAAACGACATAATTATCTTGTGAAAACGAGATATTATCTTGTGAAAACGACTTATTAACTTGTGAAAACGATTTATTATCTTGTGAAAACGAGATATTATCTTGTGAAAACGACATAATTATCTTGTGAAAACGAGATATTATCTTGTGAAAACGACATAATTATCTTGTTAAAACGAGATATTATCTTGCAAAAACGAGATATTATCTTGTGAAAACGAGATATTATCTTGTAAAAACGACATATTATCTTGTGAAAACGAGAAATTATCTTGTGAAAACGACTTATTATATTATCTCGTTTTCACCAGATAATATCTCGTTTTCACAAGATGATAAGTCGTTTTCACAAGAAAATATCTCGTTTTCACAAGATAATTATCTCGTTTTCACAAGATAATATGTCGTTTTCACAAGATAATTATGTCGTTTTCACAAGATGATAAGTCGTTTTCACAAGATAATATCTCGTTTTCACAAGATAATAAGTCGTTTTCACAAGATAATTATGTCGTTTTCACAAGATAATATCTCGTTTTCACAAGATAATATCTCGTTTTCACGAGATATAATCTCGTTTTCACAAGATAATATCTCGTTTTGACAAGATAATATCTCGTTTTCACAAGATATTAAGTCGTTTTCACAAGATAATATCTCGTTTTCACAAGATAATATCTCGTTTCCACAAGATAATAAGTCGTTTTCACAAGATAATTATCTCGTTTTCACAAGATAATAAGTCGTTTTCACAAGATATTATCTCGTTTTCACAAGATAATAAGTCGTTTTCACAAGATAATATCTCGTTTTCACAAGATAATATCTCGTTTTCACAAGATAAATATGTCGTTTTCACAAGATAATTTTTTTTTCTGGTATTTAAAAAAAAATAATTGCGTGTCCTAAATATACCACCGTACTTTCAGATCCATTTCTTTCACTTTTTCTGATCATGCAAATTATGCTTCACAAACTCTTTTTGTCGGACGATATCTCTCAATTGATAAACTTTTTAACAAAAATAAGTTTATCAACTGTTTTACAATTGAATTATTACATTTACATTACCCGCATTATTCTGGGAAAGTTAAGAACGCATACTATTAGTCACGATTTTGAAATAAAACCCGGATAAAAAAAATTCTGAACGCATCTGAAAATGACCAGTATAATATTAGTTCAGAACTTATTAAATCTTGCCCACTTCATCTGTTATATCCCCTTCTTTATTAAACCAATGCAGTGAGGAAAGGGTCCTACTTAGTCTAGCCTTTCAAATAATTCTTATAGACCAATAAAATCATTTTTTTTTCATGTGTTAATTGTGTAAAAATTCTCTTGAAATATTTTTCTAAGTACTCATCGTGCTCAAAATTTCATGTAAAATGGTCTACTTTGAAGTTATTCTCGGTTTTGAATACACCCTAACTTATCAAATGATATGGTCATGTTTAAGTACATCTCAAGTATTTTATCGATCTTAAATTACATATATCCTGCCTACGTCAATTACAAATAACACACGTAGATTGTGCTCATAGAACAATACTTCAACAGACCATTGATAAAATAAAATAATAATAAAAAAACCAAGTATCTCTCTCAACACCCAATCATCAGTTAAGGACATACACAATGTACCTTACCTACTGATAATTTTTTAAATATAAGATTTATATAGTGCCATCAAATGTTCATAGACAAAAATATCAGCGTGCATTACCAGGGGTTTTGAAAAGATATCAATTAAATGAAAATGATTGTATAATTTAATGAAAAATATGCAAAAATTACTAAACATATTTTCTCAGTGTTTTGTTTATCCAACTTTTTTAAAAAGAAGTGCACAATAACATATGCATGTATAGACAATAAAATGTAGCACACAGTTCCTTCAAGTACTGGACTCTTCAACTCCAGGGAAAAATGCAATTAAGTTCAAACTATGTTGTGTATGCCTTTAATTAATCAAATATCCCAGGGTCCAATTCTATAGGTTTAAAAATGTTTAAAATCACGTGTTCAAAATGGGGATCTTGTAAATTGGGTTCTCTTCATTAATATAGTTAAGGGGTAAATCCAATTCCCTGTTTTTTAAGGATAAAAAATAAAAACATTGGTCTTAGTCATAGAACACTTTATAATTATCCACTCTCAAAGTAGACGAGGGTATATAGCAACGTATTCGTCTTTTTGTGTCATGTCCTTGTGAAATAGATTTGATGTCATTTGCACTGGGAAAGATATCCAATGCTCTCTCGATTTATAGATATGCCCTTTGCGAGGGCTCTGCTTTGCACTGCCCTTGTAATTTTAGTATATTAAAAAAAACAGTGGAGAATGCATATTTGAAGATTAATGGTGACAACTGAATGGAATTAATATGTGGCTATTCAATCCACAAATCTTATTCAAACTATAGGGAAGTGCAATAGCTGCAAATACAACTGTACAAAATACTTCAATATTTTATTTATAGGAGTTGAATTAAAAATAACACAGAAAGACAGCTTATCTACAAAACCTAACTTTTAAAAAACATGTTTTTAACATAAACATATATTCCATCATTGGTTTACATAGAAACTTAGAAGAGCATATGCAAACTAAAACTTTTTTATTGACTGTACATGAAGACTGAAAAGTGCTGATCACTTTCAAATGAAAAGTCGATATAGTATTTTTGTAGCAAAGTGTCTTTTTCAATCATCAAAGTTAGTTTCTATCACACCATTTATCTATCACTTGCTTCTGTAAGTAGCAATATAGAAGTTCAATATCTTTCCTTGTGTATTTGAATGCTTTTTGACTGATAAATCTTCTGTAACCACTTTTATGTTCATATGTGTATTCTACAAGATAAATCTGTAGTCCTTGTACTAACAAACCAAACAGAGTTCCACACTTGTCAAGGCTTAACAGCATTTTAAGATGAAGTTCCTGTAATTTCCTGCTTTCAAGTTCAAAAACACTAGCCACATCAGCTATCAAAACTACAGTATTCCCGATAGTAACAGAAACATCTGGTGTCACTTTCCGAGAAGTTTTCTTCAAGTCAAATGCAACTGTGTTCTGACTTTTTAACAACATCTTGTATTTCTCTTTAGAACTTAAGTCTGTGTTCATTTTGTATTGATCAACATCACAAGAGTTAGGCTGTTCTTCTGTGGGGCCTTTCAAGATGTACCCACACCGATCCAGGAAAGTATCGGATCCTGAGGTGGAGTAAGTTACATTAACATCGTCTATTCCTGTGAACAACATCCTAAGGAAAGCTGCAGTAAACAGTTTCCCTCTCAGATCCTGAAAGCCCTGCGCTCGGGCCTCCCAGTAAAGATCTGCAATGGCAGAGGGATGCACTGTAGAATCTTCTGTTTGATTGGGCTGAAAGATTACAAATATAAGAAAGTCTAATGGAACTGGCCATGAAAAGTTTTCAGGACAAACAGACAAGTATATGTAGATATGATTAGGAAAATTCATACATGACTACAAAGTGTGTTCAATACAATCTTTTTTTCCGAATCAAGGTATTGTCAAAACTTTTAACTACAACATTTTAACAAGACTTTGATATATTTTTTTTTGATACAGAAACAGTTGGAAAAATAAAAATAAAATAATAATCTATTCCAAGAGTTTTAATGTACTTACTGAATGCAGATCCAGCATGCTCTGTGAAGATTCTGGGATGTCCGCTAGTTGCGCTGCTTTATATGCCATTGTCAAATGATGAATATCTGTCATCACTCTCTCATCCGTTAGTAAATCTGTGTCTGTATTCTAGAAGAAGATTTGAAAATATCTTTGAATTGTCATTAATTTTCTGCAGAAATCTTCCCGATCATACTTAATATACATGTAAGGCATATAGTGAGTTAAAACATAAAAGAGATTCTGCAGGAAAAATGTATGTCTACCATGTCTACAGTATATTCATAAGAGAGAAATAGTATAGAAAATTTTGTTGGTTAAAATTCTCAAAATTTATTTTCAGAAATACATGTAAATCTGAAAACACTTGACATATTAAATTGTTATGTCACAGCTTTACATCACTTTTTCTAAAATAAGACTTATTTTTCACAGTAATACATTGCATTTAAATCCTTATCCTGAGTTGGTTTTCATACAAACCTTTTGATACCAGTCATAATCTCTCCTTTCCACTGGACTGAAATAGAACCAGTCATCAAACACATCCCTGGAGTAGTACATCATTCCCTCCCCGGCCAGAGCTGTAAACACTACCTCCTCCGTCTCTCTCACAAGGAAACCTTAATTCAAATAAACTTGTAGTCAAATTCATACTGAATATTGATTAGAGATCTAAACAAAAATTCTAATACAAGTTTCAAATTAAAAATGGATGATGAAGCCCTCTTAACATTTAAAAGACTTTAAAGGGGGAGGAAATAAGCACCTCCTTCAAATTTACCTGATCTTAGTACCCCTGTCAATCATCTGAAATTAAGCCTCGGATTGGATACTTTGATTTGATTGACATTTAGTTTGCTGCTGCTGTGTATATCTTGTGTACCTTGTCTGGAGATCGGACCGACCATCGAATTAACTTTCAGGCTTTTGATGCCTACCGCACATGCCAACGTGATATATTGTTCTTTTCTTTTTTAATTCATAAGAATATGCCATAAATATAATCAATCTATCAAATAATTAAATAAATGACAAGAAAAATCATGGCTATATAATATATATAATAAATTTAATTTTAAAAGAGAGGATTTCATATCACGATCACAATCGATAGTTTTAATTTCCGTGTAAAAACATGAGTTAACGTAAATTTATTCCTCCATTTATTAACAAAATAAACCGACCTGCGTTTGAAGCTAGTATCATGGAATTAACTAAAATTATTTTGTAAGACAAGTATGACAACATTGTTCATGAGTCAAGCGAATTTATTTTTATAAGACAAACCTGTATGTGTTGCTTTTCTTCATGACATGGTGATGAAGTAACGGTATAATAATAAGTTTTAGAAGAGAAATTAGTCGGAATGTAACATTTTGCATTGCTTTGTATTTAATGTTTGAAATTAATAATGAATCCCGAAAGAAAAAAAAAGATGCAGAAGATTCCATTCCCGTTTCATAGCTGTCGGGAAATCAACCCCGGTCTGAAGCCCTGGCCATTTTTACAGACCATGCGTTATGGGAAAATCAAGTAGGGTTTATCTTAAAAAGATATTTATTTAGACAAAAATATTTCTACTTCAACATTTTATTCTCAAAACATCGTTTCTAAGTTTCATTGTTATTTACCGAGAGACTGTTTTATGATTCACTTTCTTCTTTCGTTTTGCGTAGACGACGTGTAATTTGAATTACCCGGTACTCCCCTTTTTGTCGCCAGATTACAACGACAGATTTTGGTGCTAAATGTATTTTCATTATAACACTTCATTAAAAAACACACTGAATATAAAAAAAAATGTCGAATTATTAAAAACATCAATTATTTTAAAAGAAATAAATTGAGAAGGATTCTAACTGCAACAAAAAATGGTTTATTTCGCATTTCAATTCATGAGCTAAACATGAAAAAAAAAAAAACCGGCCTTGGTTTACAAAGTCGTAGGAAAACACATACAGGTAATACACCCAGGTAACATCCTGTGTATATAGGTAGTATACACAAGCCAGCGTCGTTCCCTCGGGGCTTCTCAGCCGCTTCGATTAAGCTCCACCCCACACCAAACTTACCTGAGGAAAACCGTATGGTTAAAAACCTCGGCCTTTAAGAAACATTTTTTATTACAAATTTGAAAACAGTTCTCATCAGGAAGGCCTCCTGTTACTCTTACGTACATGTAGTACTAAGATATTTATCAATGGCAGGTTCAGAGCATGAAGCTTAAATTAATGACCTGTACAGTAGGATATTGGCATATTTATGAGATAAAGTAATATTCACCTTCACTTAAGTCCTCCCAATGAACAAGCATTGTTCTCTTCATTGACAGCTTTTCCCTTCTGTGATTCGAAAAAATCCTGAAAGCCTTTTTCCATCTTTTAGTCTGAAACAATAGGAAAGCTAAATACCCTGTATGTAAATGTCTAAACATTATTAAACATTTAACAAAATTCTTTGTCAATTTAATTATTATTCACCTCTGACTGCATATAATTCTTTTAATTTCCATAATTATGACAGACACATGTACATATGATAGTGTTCAGAAATTTATGACCCCCCCCCCCCCCGTTTGAAAAGCAGGAGGGTATATAGTTATCGGTATGTCTGTCCGTCCATCTGTCCATACATCTGTCCTTCTGTTACCCTTTCAGATACTTATCTTTTATCTGCAACTCCTCTCATACCACTGAAGGCAATTTGCTGAAACTTTCACAGAATCTTTATTACATATTTCCATTGTGCACCTCCTATTTTACATTTTGATCTGACCCATATTTTGAGTTTCCCACAACAAAACATGGACACTCCCATTATATTCATATGGGAGGCGGGGGTTTCATTTAGTTAGCTCATTGCTCACAGTGCCTCTAGTTTAAATTCATTTAACAAATTTGACAATGCATGTATGTAAATCAAACATGTATTTTTTTCTTTAGCTTTTATTTCATTTTAATAGAAACTCCAGTCTTTATTCTTTTTTTCTATGAAAACACTGGTGTTACAAAAAGGACGTACTGGCCTTTGGAATATTATATACCATAAATGTTAACTTAGATCTACATAAACAGATAAATATCGTTTACATATAATTATATCAATCTCATTCGAGTTTTGAAATCTTCGTCTGTAACAAAGTTTTAAGTGAAATCCCTCTGTATACTAGAACATGGCGAAATACCTTTTCCTGAACTCAATGTTTATCCTTTTTTCAGAATTTTACCCTATACTATAGAATTTTAGATATAAAGATACAAAAATGTTTGTTGTAACAAAATAAAGAGGTGACAATTTAAATACAAATGTAAAATCTTCGGTCTTAGTCAAAATCTATAAAGATTAAAACTTTTACAACTTACTGTTTCTTCAGTTTCGTCGTCCGAAATAGATTTTCTTCTCAGACTTCTCTTTTCTCCAGTGTTTGACGCCATTTTTAGAAAATTTGGTTTTCCGAGCCCGATTTAAAAGATACCGTTAAACAAGTTGACACGATCATTCGGTGTTTTCAACCTTTTCCTATTTATTTAAAAATATATTTCCACTAACAAATAATAACAGATGTTGTGTTTGATAGTTAACTTTAGATTAACATTACATTCCGACTGTAACGAGAGAATGTAATTAATCTAAACTAAAAGTTAACTATGTCTGACCTTCGACTGAGGACATAGGCGGAGTTAATTGTAGTTTTACCAGTATGAGTAATAAGTAATAAAGTAATTTTTTGGACACTGATATATTGTCAATATTGTGACAAAATGTATGAAGATAAAGAACAGAGTCTCTCAAAAATAAATATTGTGAGCATTGCAAACATGGACCACTCCGTAACTTAACATCAGAGATGGAATTAGGTGCCATGGAGCAGAAAGCATCTAACGACAGCTTCCTGTCATTATCAAGTAAACGAAAAAAATCCGTAGGTATTTCAATGTTAAAATAATGGCCTAACAATTTAACCACTTCTGTGCCACAGGGCCGATTTTGGGCCGATCACACAGTTGCGTAGAGTGCCACGGGGCCGATTTTGGGCCGATTTTATTGAAATGAATTTTGACTATGTATTTCTTTTACTTCTATTCAACGTAAATAATTATTGAACCTTTGCATCTTTTTATTGCATAACATTAAAGATTTTATGGCTTATTTGTAGAATATCATGAAAATTTCAGGCAAATATATGGATAAACAAAGTGAATTTCATATAAACGATGACGCCATGAATTTTTCAAATAAATGAGTTGTTACTTATAATACCAGTATTTTAACTATTGAATATGCTCAATCAACACGATTTCATTTTAAAAGTATATTTTTCGTACTATCATAAATTCAGTATATTGAGGTACTGCTCGTCCTTTTACCAGCAACGGTTAGAATCAACGTCATTTTACGTAAATGACGTCATAATAACAAGTACGTGTAAGCCAAACCTTTAGAAAACGTTCCAAGCTTATAGATCACCAGAAATCTATTTCAGGCATTTAGATTGATTGACTGATTGTTCAATTCCGTGATGTAATATTGTCAAGTTTTATTTTTTTATGTTGTTACGTATGAAGACATTGCACTTAAGCGAGGATTTCATTTTGGCATTATTAGCGAGGGCTCCAAGATCGCTAAAATTGAATACTGAGTATCACAAAAAAATAATTCGCTTTATGTGTAAAAGCTTCTTTAGTGAGCTATTTAAAATCTCTAAAATTACATCTCGCTAAAAATAAAACACCATATTTTTAACGCAAATTTGCGTTTCGCTAAAATTTCCACTTATACGGTATTTTCTAAAGAACAAATTAAATTTTGTTTCCTGTTTCGTTTTGTTTCCTGTGTTTGATATATTTTTCGTTAGTTTCCTAAATGCATGCAGATATTATACATGCTACTACTCAACTAAAAGCATCGAATAATTAAACATATTGAAAAGAAAACCAAAGCTAATAAGTTCAAATGTTTGTTTTTTGTTTAAATTGTATTCCGAAATTTTGATTTTAATCAATATTTATTTTTTATTTGTTCCGTATTGACTTTATTTATTACATACCGGTATAACTTTTAATGTTTCATAGATTTTTTTTTAACAAGACGCATGGATTCAATGTATTACAGTGAAAGGGGTAATCATGATCAGTTTGATATGTTTGACATGATCATTTATCTATATTTTTATCAGAATTTAAATGGAAAATAATGACGCAATTTTATTGAAATCTCTAATGAGGAAATATACATGTACGGCGAATGAATGTAATTCTTTGTATTGCAATCTATTTTTGAAAAAAGATTGTTAATTTTTTTTGTGTGTGTTTTTATTTTGTTGTATTAGGCTATTGATCTTTCTATTTTCATCGTGTAGGATATATCCTAAATACTAGATGCTGTCATGAGACAGTAATACCCGCACTAAGGTGTTTGCCTCTAAATACACGCTCCTACATATTGGTCGGCTTTCCAAGGAAATAGTCAAAATAATTCTATAATTTACATGTATTCATCAAATTGAGTATGAAATTCTCAGACCCTGTGACCTATAACTCAGAACCTCTTATATTTATTTTATACATGTTTAATTCACTATATACCAGTCTGAATTTTATTAATGATGTAAATTCATGCACGGATCTGTCGGGGGAGGGGGGGGGGTCAGGACCCCCCCCCCCCCCCCCCCCTGGAATTTACAAGGTTAAAAAATGTATATACTAAAACAAGGAAAAAGTTACAATGGACCCCCCTTGGAAAATGCACCCCCCCCCCTGGTAAACACGAATATGTGTAAAATAAGTATGAAAAGTTAAACATTTGCGGCAATAGAAGTCACCACTACTCCCACCCCACCCCCCACGGTATAGGTTTTTGGCGTTTGGGTGAGATTTACTTTAGGTTTTTTTTTTGATTGTCAATTTCTGGGATAGGATTTTTTTTTACTGAGGTGGACCCCCCCCCCCCCCCGGAAAAAATTTCTGGTTCCGGGTCTGAAATTAGATTTTGATATATGTTTTGCTCATAATAGGACCTTTTTAATATTTACTACCCCCCCCCTCGACACCACAATCACACAGCACATATTATACTTTTTGGAATAGGCTAGATGGAAAAGGTTTGTTAAAATTTAA